GTAACGCAAAGGTATTGCGAGGGAACGCAAAGGTATTGCGAGGGAACGCAAAGGTATTGCGAGGGAACGCAAAAGTATTGTGAGGGAACACAAAAGTATTGTTAGGTAACGCAAAAGTAATGTGAGGTAACGCAAAAGTATTGCGAGGGAACGCAGAAGTATTGCGAGGGAACACAAAAGTATTGTTAGGGAACGCAAAAGTAATGCGAGGTAACGCAAAAGTATTGCGAGGGAATGCAAAAGTATTGCGAGGGAACACAAAAGTATTGTTAGGGAACGCAAAAGCATTGTGAGGGAATGCAAAAGTATTGCGAGGGAATGCAAAAGTATTGTGAGGGAACGCAAAAGTATTGTGAGGGAAAGCAAAAGTATTGTGAGGGAACGCAAAAGTATTGTGAGGGAATGCAAAAGTCTTGCGAGGGAACGCAAAAATATTGCGAGGGAACGCAAAAGTATTGCGAGGGAACGCAAAAGTATTGTGAGGGAACGCAAAAGTATTGCGAGGGAACGCAAAAGTCTTGCGAGGGAATGCAAAAGTATTGCGAGGGAACGCAAAAGTATTGTGAGGGAACGCAACAGTATTGTGAGGGAATGCAAAAGTATTGTGAGGGAAAGCAAAAGTATTGTGAGGGAACGCAACAGTATTGTGAGGGAACGCAAAAGTATTGTGAGAGAACGCAAAAGTATTGCGAGGGAATGCAAAAGAAAAAAAATCCCCCCATGTCCCCTTGCGGGCTCAGTAATTTAGCTCACTTTTTGACTGTTAAATATTTTCTGCTAACATTTTTTTGTTATTAGCTCACTGTTCTCACTTCAAACTGCTGGACCAGAGGGACCACCCATGTTGTTTTTTTATGAACACATTTTAAATTTAGATTTTAAACATTAAATTTAGCAGTGTTAGAAACGTTAGCAGAAGTTACTTTCAGATAACCAGGATGATGTCATCATCCCAAAACAAACATTAACAATGGCTGCTGCTAACTATGCTAAAGATTATATTTAAAATCTAAATTCAAAATGCGTGGCTAAAAATAAATAAATAAAACAAATTAAAATAAATAAATTCAAAATGTGTTCATAAAAACAATACGGGTGGTGGAAGTGAAGCCACAACTACAAGTTTGATTTCTTGTAGGGAAGCTTTAGCATTGGAGCGCTAGCGGTTGCTATTGTCTCATTATGATGATGTCATAACATGAGCTGAGCACCAACAGCAAAGGTTGCATTCCATTTCAAAGTACCTAAATGTGAACTTCAGTGTGAAAATTTTTAACATTTCCTTTTACACTTGGCGCCCCATATGTGAGTATATGCACATGTTCTTTTCTATGTTCTATGACCACGATCAGCAGAAATTACACCCAGACTGCCTTCCACAGACAGTCAGCGCTGAGTCGTGCTGAACACATGATTGTGTAATTATAAATCTGTCATTACACTCGCTGATCTTTTCTTCCTCCCCTCGGTGCCAAGCTCCCGGTAAAGCACGGGCATTCGGCTGTCTTACAGCTGCGTRCACGCCCACGTGGGCGCCTGCCAAYGCACGAATGTGTCCCCAAACACACATAGACGCGCACGCAAACACCTTCCCAATCAGCAGTGATGATTCTAAACGCTGACACCGATGCTGATTGAAACGCCGCGCAGCAAAGYGTGGCGGTGTTCGACTACCGCCGTAATGATGCACCTGTAAAGTAAGACTGAAAAGGAAGGCTTTGTTATGCATCAGAGAAGACGCACGTGAAAACCCCGCCAAAAAAATCCGACACGAAACTGAAGGTACGGTTTAAATTTAATCACACGTATTGAGAATAAATTTACATTTTAAATAATGTCAACAGGATATTTCATTTATGTTTATTTATAGTTTAAGTAATTGTGCCTATATTGCATGTTCTCTGCTGTTCTCTTTGTAAGGTAATGAGAGTCTGACAGGCTGATTTGGCTGTATGTATTTCACCTGCTAACATGCTAACTCAAGTAAATGTTCMTTTCAAAACAGCATTACCTAAAAAAACAGACGAGTGAGGAGGAAAAACAACTTTATCTTTGTCTTTTTAAAACTAATTTAAATCTASGTTTTTATTAAGTTATTTCAATACTGTGACTTTTTACCAGTCTTACTCTAGCTGTGATAAGAATGTTATGCAACAAGACARAAACATATTTAAAATCACAAAGATTTCTTTCTTTAGCGTCTGCTGTAATTAGAGCCGCAGTAATGACAGGAATCCTGCCTGTCAATGCTCAACACAAAGACTCTTTAAGCATTACTGTCATGAAAACAGTCTCGTCAGCAGCTTTTCACTGCGAGTGTGAAAGAAACATCGAACGGTAAATGCTCACCTGTTTCAATTAAACYATTCTCACCTGTTTCACTTCACATTTTAGAAACAAGTGCTAAATTGTTCACACGCGTCTCACTGCAAGGATGTAAAGTATTTTCCTTCACATTTTAGAGACTGACTTAGATGTTTTTCTTTTKTTGGGAACAAGCATTATTTTTATAGGCCCTGTCACACTGTAATGCCCTCGGCAGCAGGACGGTTAAGTTGAGATTTAATTTTAAACAGCATACGTACCCTTGTAATTCATTTTTGGACAAAAATGTTCAGCAGACCTTTACATTTTAATCCACCATTTTAGAGTAACTTGTGTAAAATGAAGGCATAAAACCACAAAACGTATAAATTATAAGTATTATRCAACGCAATAAATGCAAATATTAAAACTAGAACAAGAACCAAAAGACGTAAATATCTTTGCAATAAATGGGAGAGTTTTAGTCCAATTTTTTATTATGACTCCTGCATGTGAAGTTTTTGTAAAGTTTATTCTTAATATAAAAAAGTGTAAAATTTGCACCAAATATTTACAATAGATCCCATATATGAGGAGGGGGCTCCATTTAAAAATGGGGTTTCTGGAAATCAAAAAACGYTTACAACTCAAAAATTATATAACATAGGAGGTTCAGATTTTTGTGGTTGTTAGAAATATTTCATGTTAGGTAAATGAAATCGTGACGAAACCACATAATATTGAATATATTAAACTGTGACAGGAATAGGGAAGCTTTATTGTTTAGACTAGAAACAATCTGAGCAGTGCTGCCTGAAACCTGGAACTTCCGGTCCTTTTATACAGAGTCTTCAGTGCCTGCAGCGCCCACCACAGGCCTACTGCTGCATCGCAGGCCATTCGAACAAACAGTGCCTTCCCAAATGAATTAATAATGGTTTTTCGATGTGTTGATGATGTTTCGGGCATGTACCTAAACTATTTTAATCAGAATTTAACAATGGTTAAACAATGGATTATAAAAGTTAATAC